CCGCTTGCTGTTGCTTGGGCCTCCAAACTTAGGTGCTGACCTCCAACTTCTAGCGTCGACCTCTACTTTAACTTTAACTTGCCTCGTTTCCTAAGGTTTTTTTTACTCACCTCGTTTCCTAAGGTTTTTTAAACCTAGGCCGGCGAGTGGCACCGCTATCAAGTCAGTACGCATATCCATGAGTGTGTGTGTGCACAAGCATGCAGACAGACAGAGAGTCGATTCCAACATCATAAGCCGTGTAATCCTCTGTCAGTGTCAACCTGCCAGTCCCAAAAAATGCCTCGCTCCTTCACCATCCCATCTCGCCACGCATTTCCCAATCCTCCTCACCTCATCAACCAGAGCACTCACCCACTGCACTCACCCATGAAACACGGCGCGACATCCCCCCCTCCAACAGTGCCCCAGCGTCATGAAGGAGGCCTTGTCGGGGCACTTCAGCGCCGGCGAGGCCACCGAGGCCAAGCTTGGCGCTACGCCGCCGCCCAGCACGCCGCAGGTCACCTGCGTCCGCAGCTTGGGAGCTCGGGGGGAGCTTGGCATTTGGCTGGACAAGTTCTTCTGCACCACCGCCTAGTCGCGTCCTTGCTCCTAGTAGCGATGCCCTTTGTTCCGAACGTAGCGAACATTGCTCCGTTCGTAGTAAGGCCAGGAGCCCCTAGTAGCATCCTCGACTAGCAGTGACTAACATCTTTGGACAAACCTGTTTCCAGAAAGGACTTTGGTCGCCTGGATGGGCCTACTCCGTGCCTTTCAGACTTCAAGTCCAAAACACGTGAACACCAACCACCAACACCCACAACACAAGCAGCTCAAGCAGCTCAAGCAACTCAAGCAACCTCGTAACATTCCACAAAACCAAAAAACAAACCCAAAAAACCGGTGCGCTGGTTTCTTGCCCAGTGGCCAACGACAAAGTGTTCTCATCCAAGGTCACTGGAGGCTTCTTCCCCACCCCCAAGGGCGACAATTCCACGGCGCAAAGCTCCCAGTGGCTGTCGGGTTCCTGGTGGCTCGTTGGACCGGGACCGGCTCATGGGCAACAGGCGGAAGGAATCGCCAAGCTAAGCGGAATCGTATCGGTCTGCCCCAACACGGCCGCAGCTGTGACTGCACACCAATTCGTTCCGCTTTTCCGCACCTCAAAGATCTCCAGCAAACCGTTGCCGGCAGGATGAGCGGTCAGCACCTCGGTCTGGAGCCGGTCTGGAGGCGGCCCACGGCGGCCCACTGGACACCGAGCGCACCCTGACCGCACCGAAATCATGCACTCCTGGGAAAAGGACCATGGGACCAAAAACTCTCGCTTAAAGTTTCATTTCATTCTTGTTTGTGCTACAGCCATGTCAGAACTGGCCGATTCTCTATTCACGTAGTTGTGGCGAAAGGAAGGTCAAAAGTTGCACAAAGATTGCGTCAAGTTAGGTTATTTTCCTTGCAACTCTTTAGCGACAAAAGGGTGACCCGTCACAAAAAAAAAAAATGGTGACATGGCGGCCTTTAAGTGCGCGCCGCCGATACGCTGATATCCGGCAACCCGATATCTGGGCATGGAGGGTATCGGTGCACCGCCGATTCGCCGGTGTCACCTTTGAGTTCACGAACACCTTTCCTTCATCACCAGAGCACCGTGGACACCCAGGAGCTGAAAGCACATCCACATTCATGAATCAGGACGACGCTGGACGCTAGTAGGAGCTCCTGGCATCGCTACTAGGAGCAAGGACGCTACTAGGGGCTCGTGGCCATACTACTAGGAGCAATGGTTGCTACTAGGAGCAAGAAGCTACTAGGAGCAAAGGGTATGAATGGTTCTGTTTGTCATATCTCCCCCATTAGAGCTTGTAATATCGGTGGGGGATATCGGTGCACCGCCGATACGCCGATATCCTCAGGCGCCGGCACAATGAAAAAAAGGCACAACCTTTCCAACAATCTACTAGTCAGCTATTTGGAGAGTCCCATTGAAACAGTGAACCACAAGCCGCAGTCGTCAATCAAGTCGCTGCAAATTCACCAACCTCTTCTTTTTCCACAAAACTTCCTTCAAGTGTGAGCTATCCTGCGTCCAGGTAGTAGCGGCTAGCCCATACTGAATTGAGTAAGAGGCTAGCACAAAGCACCCTCCGAACGCCCTCCAAGGCGCCACAAAGCGCGGCACCGGCTGCGCTTCATCCAGACACACCCCGACCACTCCGGCCGTCAAGGCCCCGGTGATTCGCCCCACACAGCGGGCGAAAGCGTCCTCCAAGCCGTGCAGCCTGGCAGCTTCGAGGCCCAACTATTTGTTACTAGTGGTTTCTTGTTCCTAGTAAGGCCAGGAGCCCCTAGTAGCGTCCTTGCTCCTGGTAATGATGCCCTTTGTTACTAGTAGCTTCTTGTTACTAGTAACGATGGCCTCCACCTAGTAGCTTCTTGTTACTAGTAGGTTCTTTTTTCCACCGGACTGGACTCGTCGAACTCGTCAAACTCGACTTCCCTTCGCCTGGAGACCAGCTGCTGCTGCTCCGACTCCGTCTGTTTGAACTTGCTCCGGGCAATCTGCGCATCCGTCAGCAGGCGTTCCCGCTGGGTGTCGCGGACACGCGCCTCTTCTTCCAGCTTGCGGACGTATTGGCTTAGCAGCTTGATCTCCTTCCCCTTCCTTGGAGAAATCACTGAACCAAAGGGTAGCTGAACAGGAATCCGTGGGCTCCTGATACTGGACTGATCATTCACCTTTAGCTAGGGAACGATTAGGGGACAGGAAAAGGTGAGGAGGAGGAGGAGGATTAGGGGTGTGTGTGTGTGTGTGTGTGGGTGTGCTGTCTATATTATTATGTGTATATATATATATAGAGAGAGAGAGATTAGTACATACATAGTTGTTTATTTATATATCTTCCAATGACTCATCATAGCCTAAAATCCTTCTAATAGGGCCAGGAGAACAAAGAACTGTGTTATCCAAGTTATCCGTGATTTAAAATTGGCTTCCTTACTTTCTCCTTTCTTGGTTCTTGGCTTTGCATTAAAGAGTATGCCAATAAACTGTTTTTCCGATGGTTTGCTGTTTCCTGCAGATTTGAGCATTCTTCTCAAGACCACAGTCCTTGAGTTCGAGTTATGGCTCGAGGTTTTGGGAAGCTACACTGCAACAAGCCTCCCAGGCCCAGAGCCGGCATAAACCAGAATCACCGGCCAAAACCGTTCAGAAAGATCTCCAATGGGGGAGCGTGCATTAGGAGCCCAAACGGACCTCACAGATTCCTACCCAAGAAGCAAGCAAACCTCAGAGACTTGTCTGATGCAACTTCTAGGATCACCCTGTAGCGTCCATGCTGGCAATGAAAGCTGGGTTCAATATATTATATCAGCAGTGTGTGCTTCCGATGATTTCTTAAAGGATGATTTCTTAAAAATTCCCAGAGAAATACCGGTTCCTTTCTTAAATAAAAGCAGAGAAAAATATCCAACCATAAGTATCTCTGCGCGTCGTTTCCTCTTTGACGTCCGTCGTTCCTCCGGCTTCGTCACTTCGCCGCTTCGTCACTCGCTTCGTTTCGTTCCGGGCATCACATCCATCTTGAACTTCAGCTCTTTCACTTCCCTCGCACGGACCTCGTTCTCCTTCCTTGGAAAAGCCCACACGGTGACGTACCATCTTCACACCTTTATTGAGAAAGAGAAGCAGAAGAGGCTCGAGACGAGACGTCCCCATTATGCCATTTGAACAAGCAGAACAATGAGCACACGGTCAACAATAAGCACATGCGTTCTGCGGTGCTTAGGGTGAGAATCGATCTCCTGCTAAGAAGGGCATCGCTACTAGTAACAAGGGCATTGCTACTAGTAGCAAGAAGCTACTACAGTAGGAGCAAGAACGCTACGAGGGGCTCCTGGCATCGCTACTAGGAGCAAGGACGCTACTAGGGGCTCCTGGCCTTACTACTAGGAGTAAGAAGCTACTAGGGGCTCCTGGCATTTCTACTAGTAACAAGGACGCTACTAGGGGCTCCTGGCCTTACTACTAGGAGCCAGAAGCTACTAGGGGCTCCTGGCATTGCTACTCACCTGATGCCGCTCAAGTCTCTGAGCCGTCTGGTAGCGTTCCTTCCACAGCCCGCCCTCTGCTGGCGATAAGAGCGCCTTTTCCAAGGCGTCCTGTTTGTCTGCCCGCAACGAAGAAGGACCTTGAACGGTTGAACTCATCTATGCGCTTGTGGTAGTTCAAGCTTCCTCTCGGGTATATATCTCCGTTGCGAATTGAATTTTCGCAGATTTGCCCTTTGCCAGGGATGAATATATGTATGTATATGTATGTATATATATATATATATGATGTGGCTGGAAGTAACGGACTGCCTCTACCAAGGAAATACCAATAGCTGGATTCGATGCTACTCCCTTCGACTTCCCTCTCCAAATGCAGAGTCTCCCCAAACCACGTTCCACCCAGCTCGTGGGTTTCCACATGAATTCCTGCTCAAAACGAAAAGGATTTGTTGGAAACATCGCAGAGAAACAGGGATCCAGATCTCATCATCCATCACATCCTCACGAACCTCAAATTTGGGGCTTCCCAAACCATCACGGACTCTGCGACTCTCCTCGGTCGTCTTCAGCTTGCTCTGCAACTCCTCAATGACGATCTCCCGCTGGACGATCTCGTGGTCCAGCTCAGCTACGTGCGCACGCAGCGCCGAAAGCTCCTCCGGCGCGGCTGGTGCGCCTGGCACGCAGAGGGGTGACAAGGGTTGAGGACGGACAAAGCGGATATGAAACTTTGAAGGCGCCTCATTTGGTTGAACTGCCAAGTATTGTGAGAGGTTTGCATCAATGAGATTGACAGAATGACCACCACAATTCAGGAATATCAGCCGGTTCATATTGCATCGAAAACCGGAAATCTTGTGTGGAGAAATTGCTATGCTTGAGACCTATATGTACCAAACTTGATTGTCCATTGTCAACAAAGAGTGAACACAAAACATGTTTGCACTCTCTCTCGCACCCAGAACCAACATCCTTCAACAACAAACCAACCAACTCATCCCACTTGGCGACCTCACCTGTGTTCGCCTTGGGCGAGCCCAGGCCAACGGCCGCGTCCGGAAGCTCCTCCGTCCAGCCCCGTTTGGTCGCGACTGGCGAGGCGCCCGCAACGCCCACCGCATGTCGGGGAGAGAAGGCGTCACCTGGAGGACATCGCGAGCATTGCGCGCTTTGAACGGTGGGCACCGTGTCAGGCAGCGCGGCTTGTTGGAACATGTTGGAACCTGGAGTTTCTCTGGTGTCCTCTCTGGCGAAAGGCTGAAATATGGAGAACATATAATGTACTTTAATTACCGTACAAAACATGGTACAGTGATGAGATCCAGTGCCTCCGCCACCACCACCTTCTTGACCACCCTTGCGGGAGTTGGTTCATGTGGGGAATGCGTCCCAATTGCCCTGGTGGCGAAATCTTTGTTGCAACCACCGTGCTTTACTACCATTTCCTCAGAATGGAAGTGGAAGTTGGAAAAATATCATCCGCCAACTTCTGACCCTCCAAACTCTCTCTCTCTCTCTCTCCCTCTCTCTCTACTATATCCTGTCATGTGCACGCAAAAGACTGCCCACTAGCGCCTTCGGCGGCCTCTCCCTTCAAGGCTCTCAGCTGCGCCGTGATCAGCGCCTGTTCCGCCCGCGCCTCCGCCATCAAGTCCGGCACAGATGCCATGGCTCGTGTCGTAGCGCTCACGCGCGGCGGAGTCGCGCGGCGGAGTCTTCGTAGTGAAGAGATGGATGTAGGGTTCTGAGAGGTGTTGTTTCTTCAGAGGGGCACACTCTTGATGAACCAAAGCAGACTTGCACCTTGTCAAATGACAAAGATACCAATCCGCCATTTCCAGACCTGGACATTTTGTTTGGTGTGGTGTGTTTGATAAGTTGAACGGGTTGGCGACACCCGAAGCTCGATGACGCGCTGCTTCTTGTTTTTGGGGTGTGCCAAATGGATGTTCGAAGGCCATGCCAAGTGGATGGTTTAGTGTCTAGGCGCCAAACTTCAGTGCTTTGGGCTTTTGACTTCTGGTCGGTGCTTCATTCATAGGTGGGGTTCAACCCAGCTCATCCTCTCATGTCCTGAAGCACTAGGGTCGGAGTTGCGCTGCTCTCAAAAATTATTGAAGCTCCCTCCAATCAGCAACTCTTAGACTCCCTACAGTTACACCTCGGTGCAGCCAAAACAGTCTGACCCCTGAGCTTTCTGAAGCTGCCTGCAAAATGATTGTGTTGTTTGTGCTTGGTGTTGTCCAAGCAAACCCGCTGAGGTTCTACTCTACATACTGTACACTGTAGACGACATCAAGACCTTGTTCCAGCCAGGAAGAGACAATGTCCATGTCTGATAAACAAAACAATCAGAGTATTCGCATCATCCGAACGCCTTAAGAATCGTTGAAGCAAATCAAGGTGTCTCTGTAGAGTCTCACAGGCGATGCGAGCTTTTTCTCACTCCTCACATCTCCTGAATGGGTTGGAGGCCATCGCTGTTAGGTTGGAGGCCATCGCTATTAGGTCGGGGGCCATCGCTAGTAGGTTGGAGGCCATTGCTTCTAGGTTGGAGGCCATCGCTATTAGGTTGGAGGCCATCGCTATGAGGTTCGAGGCCATTGCTATTAGGTTGGAGGCTCGCTATTAAGTAAGGAAAAAGAAAAAGATGAAAGGTCTGGCAAGACTTGCCCACACGCCTTGATCTTGGGGTCAGGAGTCTTCATGCCAAAGCGTCCCTGCTCGCAGAGCCAGTCGGTGAGCTCATAGGGGCCTCGTGTCAAACAGCAGCCGTCGAGCCGAACAGCTTGTCAAACATCCGTTTGTCTCTTAGGATGACCACCTCTAGTAGCGTCCTTGCTCCTAGTAGCGATGCCCTTTGTTACTAGTAGCTTCTAGCTACTAGAAGTACGGCCAGGAGCCCCTAGTAGCGTCTTTGCTCCTAATAGCGATGCCCTTGTTACTAGTAGCGTCCTTGCTCCATTGGTTCTGAAGAATTCCCAATGTCTTGGAGCCATATCAAGCAACCGAACATCATTCCGAGGCCAGGACCGTAGTAGGTCTTGGTCTGCTTGTTCATGTCGCCCGCTGCCTGCCCCGTGTTCGTGCCCGGTAAAATTCCACAGAAGCCCATATTGAGATACAGCAGTCAAGATCGACAGTTCCTCGATGCCTTTTTGGCGAGCTCCCCTGTAAATCTATGGTTTGTTCTCCCATGTCCATCGGCGATCGATCGTACACCACGGCCATTAGACAGAAGTTCTTTCACGTAGAGATGATGGGTCGGAACCTGTTGAGCACTGTTCCAGGGGCACGAACATCCTTTTGCAAAGCTACACCAGGTCTTGATGCCGGGTAAGATCTTAAATGTTTTGCCCAGCCATTTTTTCCCAGCCATTCGAACAAGTCGCTCAAACCGACCCCTCTTCCAAACATCCTGCACCTGAGACAAGGAAGCCCCAGTGTCTTTTGAAGTGGAAAATCTTCTCCTTCTTTCAAAGTCCGACGTGCCATGCCCTTCTTTGAGCCCATTGAGCTCGACATCCAGTGCCTTGCGCTGCTTCCAGAAGAGCTCCTGGCCCACCAGGTCGCCCAGCGCCATGGGGCCCATGGCCATACCTGTGAAAACCAGGAAGCACTCCGACTCCTTTGAACGCCTTCTATTTTGGTCGGAAACAGGTCGTTTTCCACTCGCCATCATATCGTTCGTCCATTTACATGTGAACTTGAGTCGGCATGTTTGAGATAGGTGGTCCACCAAAATCGGGGTGCTAGAAACGCATTGTTTCACACCTCTAAGAGCCCCAGCCATCCGGAGAACTCCACCCACTTCCACTCCGCTCCAAACAGCTCTTAGGATGGAGGCCATCGCCAGTAGGTTGGAGGCCATTACTAGTAGCAAGAAGCTACTAGTAACAAAGGGCATCGCTACTAGGAGCAACTAGTGGCTCCTGTACTAGTAGCAAGAAGCTACTAGTAACAAAGGCTTCTAGGTTGGAGGTCATTGCTACTAGGCTTTTGCCTCCAAAACCCGCTCCGAGTGTTCACCCGCTTTCGCTCGGGCACCGAATGCGACGGCAGCTTTGTCGATCTGCTCGATGGTGGCTCCCTCCTCCAAGACCATCTTCGCTTCCCCCGCGTAGGGTGCGATCTCGGCCCAACCGGGACGGACCACAGATGCCACAGCTGTGAAGTCTTTGATTAGCCCTTTGCTGCTCGTTTCAGATCGACCACAACGTATTCGCACATTTGCAAACAGGCTAAATGAGTCGACTTGAGACACTTTTCTGGGGTGCGCGCCATGCGGTTGCCCACGAAGCCATCGCAGTTACCCACCTCGGTGCAGGCTGGCGACGAGGTGAATCGAATGCCTCTTGTGCTGTTGCTTGACAGGATCTTGTCTCGACACCTAGAACTCCCCACGACTCGAAGGAGTGGCAGGTGCGTTTCGATGGGAACATCGTCTGGTCGCCCTTGGGCCACGCACCATGACACACTTCTTGTTGATGAGCTTTCCCATGGCCATTCCTGGCGGACTGAGCGACGGACAGGAGGAATCTATATAATGCGGGTGAAAACTGCACAAAGAACACTCCATCTCCGTGACCTTTAAGTCATGCTGCATCAGTCTAATTCACTGTCCCCCCACTGAAGCCCCACTCTTCTCACATCCATGTCCCACACGGCTGACCGCAAAAGCCGCCCAGAGCAACGCTCTGCGGGTGGGACACGTGCCGTCGGCACCTGTGGCCAAAGTGCGGACAGAGGACTTGCTGGTCCTCACGTTCTCCAGAAGCTGCATGACCTCGGACGTTCTGCGAGAGTCAGTCTTCGGTGTCTCTGTCTGAAGGTCCAAAAATGCTTCCACGAAGCTGCAAAAAACTTCTTTGGTTTCCCTGCTCGGTAGTTTGGGATGTACCCTAAAGGGTCCCCAGGTCCTCGTCCTCAAGCATTTCAAAGCACTTCCAGTAAGATTACCACATATTGTTTTAGAAGGTGCCCGAAGGAGGTCAGGACAAGATCCTCCACAATTCCTATAGTCTCCAGGTAAAGCAGATTCAGAGAGCTCGGCCATCAAAGGTATCTCAGCTGGTGGTTCTCTTGAGAACTTGACCCGAACTTTTCAAGTGGGACTCTGAGTGCTTCACATTGGCAGGGGAGAAGAAGTGGCAGCCCATCACACGCGAGGGATCCTCAAACGCACGAACGTCGCTTTTAGACTTGACCCGGACCACTCGGACCGGACTCTGACTCATGGTGCAGGGAGCTTCCGAAAAGATCGTGCCGGATGAGCCGCCGTCTTTCCCGTGGCCACTCAACCGGGTCTCTCCAATCAAATGGCGATGGCCTCCAACCTAGAAGGCTTCGGTTTCTAAGTCTGGCAGTAAGTCTTCGTCCGGCGATTCACCTGCCCAATGCGCTTAACCCGGTCCTTCAGCACTGTGGCGATATCATCCTCAGCCAACAGCAGTTTCCCAACAGCGATACGCTTTGACAGAGAAAATGAGGCAAATACAACACCATAGTAAATGTGTGACGTTTGCTGAACGTGTACTGTGATGTGTGTTCAACTGGGGAAAGGGTGCTCGTTGAACCAAGGTAATTTCTTCTCATGTTTGCTTTAAGGAGTTGTTACCTTAGGTCCTTTCGAGGACCAGAGAAACGTATCTCCAGATAGAAACTCCCCAAACATTACTATTGGGTGTCGTTCAAGCTACTTGACTCTTGAGCAAATGTTCCTTACCACTTGCTCCTTTCCACCTCCAGTCCGATAAGCACTGACTTAGTGCAGGAAAGCTTCGATGTTGAGACCGCTGGTGTTCGTGCAAATGAGCGCATCCGGCTTGGTGTTCTTCTCGATGTCGAGGAAGACCTGAGGTACCCACGCACTCTGACCTGTGCCCTCCTCTCCACTGTTGAAGCAAAACGCAACAATAAATATAATACAAATCATATCAAATCATCGCCAAACAGGCCCTTTGTACCATCTACTGTAAAGCCAATGGAAACACTCCGCATCTCGACCATACGCTTTCACCACCGGCTTGGCCTCCTTCTTCAGCTCCATAATCTCCGGCACGGCCTAGCACCGGTGTTTGCAAGACCCGGGTTGCAACACCGAGAGGTCGATTCCCCTGGTGGTCCAGGAAGAGGTGCACTACCTAGCCACCCAGAGACCCGTCTCCTGATCTTGAGCACCTCAAGGGCTTAAACTATTTCTTTAAACGCATGTTGATGGACACCAGTCAATCACCAACATGGACCTTGATAGTATCCCTTTTCCCAATCCCTTTGAGCGCACAATAGGATGTGCTGAAGTATTCTAACAGCTTACACAGTCAATCCAATGTGCAAGAGAAATGGAGCAAATAACATATTTCAACCTTGGATCTCTCACACCCGTTTTTCCTGCGAGGTAACACTGCTTCCTTGGTGTCTTGACATCTATAATCTATCGGAAACAGTCCATGGCCATGGCCTCGATCACCATATCCACATCCTTGAAGTCGGCATAGTCCCTCAGAATCGCCGCCGTGCAACGCGGTCCACCGCGGTCCGTTTGGGTCGAACGGGTCGACCGAGTCGGAAAGCGCACGCAGTGCGTACGCAGAAGTGGAGTCGAAGCAGGCCCCACTCACGTCAAGCTAACCAGAACTTACCACTTTTGCAACAAAAACGATTCCTTTTCAGAAAAATCCTTTAGAAAAGGCTGTTCTGTCTGACCATGATTGTAAAACACTGGTGCTGCCGGTGTCGTGAT